TTTCAACACACCTCTCTCAGTGATGGATAACACCAGCAAAAAATCAGCAAGGATACAGAACTGAACAGTATCAGCAGAATCCACATTCTTTTCAAGTGCATGTGGACACTTAGCAAGATAGATCGTATCTTAGGTCCTAACAAACTCTAATAATTTTAAAAGAACTGAAATCATATGAAATATGTTCTCTGACGACAATGAAATTAAACCAAAAATCAATAACTGAAAGATAACTGGAAAAGCCTTCAAACACTTGGAAATTAAACAAGAAATATCAAGGAAAATCAGAAAATATTATGAACTGAACAAAATGAAAATACAGCACAACAAAATTTGTGGGATAAAGAAAATACAGTGCTTAAAAGCAAATTTATGGCATTAAATGCTTCAGTTAGAAAAGTTTAAAATCAACAATCTAAGCTTCCACCACAAGAAACCAGAAAAAAAGAGCAAATAAATCCAAAGCAAGCAGAAGGCAGGAAACAAAGAGCAGAAATTAATGAAACTTAAAACAGAAAACAGAGAATATCAATAACCATAAGCTGGTTCTTTGAAAAAGTAATACAATACACCTCTACTAAGACTGACCAAAAAAAAAAAAAAAAAATAGAGAAGACACAAATTACTAGTATCAGGAACGAAGGAGAGAATATCACTGACCCCCAAAACATAAAAAAGATAAGGGAATACTACAAACAATTCTAGACACAGAGATTCAACAACTTAGATGAAATGGACCAACTCCTCAAAAATCACAAAATTACCAAAACTCACCTCAATAGAAATAGATAATTGGAATTGTTCAACAATTATTAAAGAAATTGAATCCATAGTAAAATCCTTTTGAAACAGAAAACTCCAGGCCCTAATGGTTTCAACAACAAATTCTACCAAACATTTAAAGAATAACATTAATTCTACACAATCTCTTCCAGAAAATGAAAAATGATGAAATACTTCCCAACTCATTATATGAAACCAGTTATCACCTGAATCCCAAGCCAGATAAAGACAATACAAAAACACTATAGTTCAACATCTTTCATGAACACATGTAAAACAACTCGCAACAAACTATTAGTAAGTTGAATTCATCAATATATAAAAATAATAATACAACAGAACCCAGTAAGGTTTATATCAAAAATGCAAGGCTGGCTTCAATAATCAAAAATCAATGTAATCCATTATATTAACATTCTAAGGAAAAAAGGTCATATCCACTTATAAGGAAAAACTGTCTGACAAAATGCAACATCTGTTCATGATAAAAACTCTCAGGGGCCAGCCCCGTGGCTTAGCAGTTAAGTGCTCGCACTCCGATGCTGGCAGCCCGGGTTCAGATCCCGGGCGCGCACCGACGCACCGCTTCTCCGGCCATGCTGAGGCCACGTCCCACATACAGCAACTAGAAGGATGTGTAACTATGACATACAACTATCTACTGGGGCTTTGGGGGAAAAATAAATAAATAAATAAATAATTATAAAAAAAAAAAACCTCTCAGAAAACAGGAACAGAGGGGCATTTCCTCAATATGATAAGGAAGTATTCTACAATAAACATCTACAGTTAACATCATACTTAATGGTGTAAGACTGAATATTTTTCCCCTTAAGACTGGAATCAAGTCAAGGATCTCCTCTCTCACATTCTTTTTCAACACTGTACTGAAGTCCTTGCCAGTGCAGTAAGGCAAGGAAAAGAAATAAAAGGCAAACAGATTGTAAACTGATAAAACATTAAGGGGTGGGGACCCTCAACAATAAGAGAATAAAATAGATTCCTTAATAATAAGAAGGAAAATTTTTGACCGTCGTAAAAAGAATTATTCTGGTCCAGCCTAGAATTTCTATCATGTGTCTCATACTTTTCATTCTGGAGAGTTCACTTTGTATGTTAGGATACTCATTATTATAGTTCTAACATTTGAGCAATGAACACTACTAATAAACTAAGTGGGTAAAAACAGTACAAAAGAATAACTAGAAATGGTAAAAAAATAAACAGTGTGTTTGTGTGTATACAGACAGATAAATATATATATATCTCTCTCCAAATGTAAAAATAAGCCTGTAATAACAGTAGTAAGAGAAAAAAAAAGCTACACAGAAAAAACTTAAAAATTGAAATAATTCATTTACAAAAAATATAAAAGGCTAAAAAAATAGAAAACGCTAGTGAAATTTAAAGAAAATTAGCAAGAAAATAAGATACCAAATCAAAATCAGAAGGTAAAATGGAAATAATTTTAAAGAAGGAGTTTCAAAGAATGATAGACAAAATGTTTTAGGGAAGAACACACTCAATTTGGCAGTGTGACTACTTGTATCTAGAGCATATTTTTGCATGAAGATTCAAACAAATTTGATGAATATTTTCATATGAAGTATGTAAAGAGCTTAATTTCTCCAAATTTAAAGGATAAACATGCAGGTTGAGAGGAAAGTAAAAATTAAATATACTGCTAAGACATTTTTACAGTCAGAATTAGAGAATCAAGTGCAATTACCAGAGCTTAGAAAGTCAAATACTTTTCAATTTGAATTCTTATCTCAGATAAAACACTTATTACTTTTAGGAAGAAACACAGATGTCATGCCATACCAACCATTATTTTTAAAAGTATTTCTGAAATTTAAAGAAATGTGAATTTACTCTGGCTGAATTTTTAAGTTATTTGTAATTTTAAATTTTATTTCATCATAATATAAACTGCCTCAACTATTTGATCACTTCCACTGATTGTTACAGAGGAATAATTTGCAGTATTTCTCTTACTTTTTAGATAACATACATTTAAACACAACTTAAGGCTTCCCTGCCCATAAAAATATAAGAAATGTTCATGTTTTTAAAAAAACAAACAAAATCAATCTCAAGCATTTAATGCCCCCCCAAAACATTTTGGAATATCATGGGATTGGGTGGGGAGGTAAACATACAAATTTGTATAGTTTAGCCTAACAGCTCTCAAATAACTTTTATTTAATCTTGCTCTCATTAAAGAATGAACGTATCTTCAATAGACCTAATCTAATTATGGAATCATTTCAGGACATCCTGAATAATCATATCATTTATACATATTAGAGCAGAACAAACTTTGCATTATGTAACTAAATTATGTTCTTAGGACATCTGCTGGTGAGAGAGATTTCTTCAACACCACTGACAAAGTAATATTTTCTGAAACCAGTGCAACATGCCTAGACAGATTCAGCTTTATGAGACAGCTTATAAACATATCTATCAGAGAATATAATTTCTAGAGAAATTGGTTCAACAGGTTACATCACAAACAGGGGAAGCCTAATTTGTCCCTCTGCCAAAGAACTTTTTACATAAGCCAAAGATTTAACATTATTGGCATCTGAAATAAATTACTTTTCTACAAGCTCCAGCCTAGTCACTAGTCTCCTCCCTTATTGTATCCAATGACTATTTTAACATGACTTTCCTCTAAGGGTCTTCAGCTTTAAATGAATAGACTCTGACATCAATAATTCTTTTCTTTTTTTTGAGGAAGATCGGCCCTGGGCTGTGCCCATCTTCCTCTACTTTATATGGGATGCCGCCACAGCATGGCTTGATAATCGGTGCGTAGGTCTGGGCCCAGGATCCGAACCTGCAAACCCCTGGCCGCCGAAGTGGAACACGAAAACTTAACTGCTATGCCACCCAGCCGGCCCCAGAGATCAATAATTGTTTAAAGAGACACCTACTCCACAAGCTATTCTTGCTTTTTCTGAGGACATATATATGTTCACAAGCATTTTTAGATATTAATCATCTTTACGGTTTTTTCCCTCAAAATGAAATCCATTTTCTTATACTACATTTCAAAAATAAAATCACATTAGCATTGTTGGGAATAAACTCAACTACTAGGGCTTTTAAAATGCATACACGATAACTGTAAGGAGTACCTGCAGGTAAATATGGGGAGTGAGAGAAAAGGAATTCTTAGGAAAATTCTACATTCTACCTAGAGTACCTCTTAAGCTCCCTCTGCTGGCTACCATTTAAATAAAGTAGAAAAAAAATGTAAACCTTTTTTCTTTTGGGAAGTGATGGATGAGAGATGCATGATGAAGCTGACAATGCTACTGTGGAAATTGAAATGGAAATTCTCTTAAGTAAGGGCCAAGTCTAACCGATGACTACCTTCCCTACTAAGGCTTCAGGACTTTCAAACACATTTGGGGGATGGTGGGTACTTAAAATAAGGGAAGTTATTGTCAAGTCTGAATACGTTCATCATTAAATTGATATGCAAAAATGCAAAAACATTTAGTATAAAATAAATCAACTATAAATGGTTAGCATTTAACACTAGAAAAATTAAGAAGTTAAATATACTTCACAAACTTCACTAGAACAAAAAGCTTATACCACACTATTTAATCTATTAGTTTCAATATTAAAGTTTATTTTTTTCTTCCAGAGTGAGGTTAAGTAACAATTTAAATAATTATCAGGATGTATAAACGAACATCCATTTAGATAAAACATTACTGCTTAAAAGTGGCTATCTAAGAAGTATTTTGCATGTAATAAATATATTTTATGTTTAGGTTAACAGGCACCATCTTGAGAGCAGAAAAGTTTTTTTTTTTAACCAATAAATAAATTACATTCAAGAAAACAAGATGTTTTTATCTACAGTATGATATATCCTTACATGTTTTTCTTCATATAGCACCCAAAGTTCCAAACTGTCTAGAAAGTATCTCCCAAAATAAAACTCATACCTTAAGTCATAAAAATAAAGGCCAAGAAAAAAATCAATTTAAGACAAAATTTACAGTTCATATTCTTAATTCCCATTCAATAAAATATCAATTGCCAATCTATTCAAAGTAATTGAACTGTATATATGCAATCTGTTAGTGCTGAAAATCTGAAATATATACTTTTAAAAGTCACTCTTTCTCAAAGTATTTAAAATATTGCATCTCTGGTGGCAAACCTGAAAACTATTAAGCATTTTATCTCCCTAGTTTTCACACTTCCACTCCCACCCCTACTCCTTTATCCTTTAATAGCCATCCAGCTTTTTTTGGGGGGGGGCAGGGGGGGTATTGTAAATACACTTACTTATATCCCAAACACAAAACACTGACAATACTTCTTGGTAGACAAGGAAATCCCAGAATAGTCCAAGCCTACAGCTTTGCTCCCAAAGTGTGGCACAGGCTAAACGATAGGGGGAAAAAAACAATGAATGGCCCTTACTGATGCAGTCAGAATGCTCCTGAGAGTCCATAACTGTTTGAGAATTTGCTGATGTAATCCTGAAGAAAGTTTCAACACATTTTGCAGACAAATATCAGAGAATAAGTCTTTGATTGATAATTTTTCTATTTATTTCTGCCAAGGCGACTGAAAACACGAAAGCCTTTTCATCAGAGAGGTTAGCATAGATGTCAATTTCCTTTTCCTGTTTCTCTGTTAAAAGAAAAAGGGAAAGCTTAATATAAAGGCAGCAGATGCAGTAATTCTTTTTAAAAAACAAAGCTTTCAAGTATTTCTTTAAATTACAATAAATATTATACATAATACTACAATGCACATTAAGTGTTATAAGGTATTATGCTACTGTACGGAAATTTTTGAAAAATTACACACAGGCGTTATTGAAATGCCATGAACTAAATTCTAAGACTAAATGGAGATGATATGTATTTCTACACACGCAGTCTAATATCTACATAATTTTTCTAAGAAATCTCAAATATTTCTCTCTCGATATTATGAGCTCACTGCCTCAGTCAAAATGAATCTTCTCACCCTAAAGATGGACCCTCCTGAACATCAAGGGTACCTTTATGAATATATTAACTTCTTCACCTTAGCCCTGTTACAGAAAATAAGAATAACCAACATTTATTTCTATTTTTTCCCCTGCTGATTACAAATGTAATCCAAGTTCATGGTAGAAATTTGAAAATTACAGAAAAACAAAAAAGAAAATAAAAATCATCTTTTATTTTCTCATGAGCCAGCTAAAATCAATTAACATCTTTGTGTACATTTTTCCAAATTTTTTCAGGATCTATTATGATTCTACTTTGTCTGTTTTTTTATTTTGTTTTGACTTTTTAATCAAAGGTAAACACGCATATAATTTAGAGTCAAATCATTTTTACCAAACTTGTTACAAAAACAGAAGTCCTCCTACCCCATACACACTTCCCACTCTCCAAATGCAACTACTTTTTCTTTCAGTTGTTCCTTTTTGTTTTTACATCTGTTATCACTAATATTTTTTATATGACGTTACTTAGTTTTTTGCTTTTAGGCATTATTAATCAACTTTCCACCATGGAAAATTAGGATTTTATTGTTTTCCATCTATTGCTCCACCACACTCTTCCTGTTATAGTCATATCACAATTTCGGTGAGATGAATATTCAATGTTTACCTTATTCTGACTATGTAAGTGATTTTACTTTTCCTGCACATTGTTTTCCCTGAAGAGATTCTCTCTTTTCACTTGCTTAGTTTTCATTACTGACTGAACCCAAACTCTCTCCTAGTTGTATAAATCTTTCAGAATTTTTACACATATTAGGTATGACATCAATTTTATCTTCTTGAAGAAATCTCTCCAAGTCTTCTGATGTGCTCCAATCTGAAATGTTTGTTTTCTAGGCCTATTACACAATTGTCATCTTGAATCTCTCAACATCATGCTGCAGATTCTCTTCATCTCTCTCTTGAGTTGGACCCCATGGCCCGGATCCCAGGATACTTTTTTGGTTTATCTCTTCATTTCGATGATATGTATCTTGCAGTAGCTTCCTGAAAAAGGGAGTAGGGGTAGCAAATTTTTTGAGACCCTAAATGTCAGAAAGCGTCTTTAGCCTATCTTCACACTAACTCATAGTGTGGTTGACCAAAGACGCGTAGATTTCTTCTCAGGATCGTGAAGGCAAAAAAATTGTCTGCCAACTAACTACTGGTGCCACTGTTAAGAAAACCCAACGCCCTTTTTTATAGTTATTTTTTAAATTACTGCTCAATTTACATACAGTGAAACAAACACAGATCTTAAGTGTACAATTGGATGAGCTCTGACAAACACATACATTCATGTAACCCACACACCACAATCAAGATATACAAAATTCTTCACGCTCCTTTCCAGCCAATCCCTCCCTACCCTACCAGCAACCACTGTTCTGATTCTACCACCAGATTCATTCTGCCTGTTCTTGAACTTCATATAAATGGCATCATATAGTATGAACTGTTTTGTGTTTAGTTTGTTTCGTTCAACATGTTTTCAAAATTCACTGATGCTGCTCATATATAAGTAGTTTGTTCCTGGCTGGGTAGTATTTTTCCCACTGTGTTAATTCCAATATCATTTGATTCTTTTCTCTCTTTTTTCTCTGAACACTTCAAGGATTTTCCCTTTAGCCAAAGAGATCTGATTTATGATGATATGCTTTGGCATAATCTCTACTTTTAACCATCCATTGGGCTGGGAATCTGGTGGGCCATTTCAATATGGAAACTCATTGTCCTTCAGGTTTGGGAAAATTTCTTGAATTATTTCATTGATGACTTCTGTCTCCACCATCTTCTATGTTCATTTTCTGCAAAGTCAATTATTTATAGATGTTGACCTCAAACTGGTCCTCTAAATTTCTTATCCTTCCCATTTTATTTTTTTCATCGCTTTTCCTACTCCTCTACGTTCTGGTACATTTCTTCAATTTTGTCTATAAGCCTTCTGTTAAAGTTTTTCATTTCTGCAAATCACATGAACACACACACACATACATATATATATTTTTTTTTTTTTTTGAGATTCATATTTTAAAGTTCATTTTCCAGGTACTTTCTTGATATCTGCAATTTCCTTTTAAATATCTTATTCCTGTTTCATGGCTACAATATCTTCTCTTGCTAAGAATATTAACGATAGTTTTAATTTTTCTTCTCCCTGCAAAAACTTGTTCTATCCAAATTATTCTTTTCCCCTGTTGATTTGGTCTTAGCTTTTCATACTAGATGCTTTCTTCCGCATATCTGGGTAATTTTTGGTAATGTGCTCATATTTGGGAGTGGGAACAAAAAAGCTAATTAGCTCATGCACATATGTGGAGCTTGACTGTGGTCATCACTTTAGGATGATCTGACTGGGCCATTTCTTTGTGAAATCCCTAACGAATGTATCTGTATTTTAGGCCTTTTCTCTTGTGCTCTTCAGAATCCCTAGAGAAGATACTTCTAGTCTCTGACCTGAAAGACATAAAATAAGCCTGACTGGAGAACTCAATATTTATTATCTCCAATTTTCACCTAATCTTTCTGATCTTAATATAGTACCCCTGCCCTCATTGATGCCTGATGTTCCCTAGACCAGAGACTGTTTTATCGTATCTCTTCCAAAGGATAAACTTGGAGGGAGGATGAGGTAAACAGCCCTAGTGGGCTATTAAAAAATAGACTTCCAAACAATCTTGTTCATTTTAGCCTCACCTTTACCTCTACACTTTCAGACATAACTGAGGCACAAATTCCTGACCATAAGGCAGTTGTGTAATAAAAATCAGTTTCTTTCTTAGTCTTCCCCAAAGGAGCTTACAATTAGGTTTCATAGGTCTGTTAAAGCAGTTTTCACTTTCTGGAATTTTGCTGCTTCTCCCATTCCTTGTCCTTGTGGGTTTTGCCCTTTTTAAAAAAAATCCCTTTACTGTCATTTTACTAGGATTTGAGTAGGATGCAGAACTAGATGTGCTTACTCAATTCACCATCTTTAACTTGAAGTCTACATTAATTCTTTATGTCCACTAATAAAATATTCAGAATTGCCCAATATATTTTCATCAGTTAAAATGTCACTCCTACATTACTAATATCCAGAATAATCGTACTCCCCACATCTAATATAAAGACTTATCTTAAACCAACCAAAAATTGTTAAGTTTAATGGTTTGTTTTTATTATTTATTATCTAGATGTCTAACAAGCTTTCCTCTTCCATTCTTTCTTCTTCCTATTCTTTTTCAAAATATGGGAAACAATAAAGTCAATTAAAAACATGTTTTTAGACATATTGTGAGGTTTTCCTTACTAAAATAAAGGTAAAGCTTGCTTCAAATTTTTCAATTGCCCTATGAGCAGGGAATCAATACAAACTGAATTAAACTAAATAGCTACTTAACACTAAGAAGCATATCAAAAAACTTGATTCTAAAATATACAGACATTTCAGAAGTTCATATTTCCTATCCCGTATTATATTTAGAGAACATGGTCTGCCTTAAGGGTTGGCAGAAATACAGCCCAGGGGCCAAATTTGGCCCACAACCTGATTCTATAAAGTCTTACTGGAACCCAGCCATGCCCATTCATTTACATACTGTCTATGGCTGCTTTCCAGCTACAAGGACAGAGCAGTGTAGCTGTGACAGAGACTGTATGGCCCACAAAGCCTAAAATATTTATTATCTGGCTCTTCACAGAAAAGTTTACTCAGCCCCCTGGGCCTACATTAAGAGATTCCAGTTTATTCTACAAAAATTGCCTTGAGCACTTTCCTGTTTGTAATAAAAGCAAATAAATTAAAAGCATATCTTACTCTAGAACGAGCTTCCTTAAAACTTTTCCATAATAAACTGAAAATACCCTGAAAAAATTTACAGCCAAATAAATGCTTCTTTTTTCAAGTTAACATGAAATAAAAGTTCAAACCTGCATATATCAAGTCCTAGCACAACTATATAGACTTCATTTCCCTGACTAAAACACTGTCATTATCTGTTTTCTCATCTTCTCTCAACCACTACCAGAAGCATTCCTTCTCCATTCTTTGGGTTATATTCCCTTTACCTCAACTGAAAAGAATGTTCTGTTTTCTAGGCCAAGCAGTATTTCCCTTTTCTTTTTTCTCTTTGACTTTTCTTTACCTAGTTTCCTTCTGAAACAGTCTTTTGCATAGATTTTATGATCATCCCATTGTTAAAGAAGCACATTCAAACTGAGAAAATAACTCAAACTCTCTGGAAGAGCAGCATAATAGAAGGAAAAAGAAAAAACAATAAAATTACCCAAGGAATTAAGGAGTATCTAAGTACAATCTTCATAGGATATAGCCAAATACAACATAAACGCTATTCCTTTGGCCATACAATGTTAAGAAATTTTGTGTGTGTGTGTGAGGAAGATCAGCCCTGTGCTAACATCTGCCAATCCTCCTCTTTTTTTTGCTGAGGAAGACTGGCCCTGGGCTAACATCCGTGCCTATCATCCTCCACTTTATATGGGACGCTGCCACAGCACAGCTTGCCAAGCAGTGGGTCGGTGTGCGCCCGGGATCCAAACCGGCGAACCCCAGGCCACCGCAGCGGAGCACGCACCCTTAACTGCTGTGTGACCGGGCCTGCCCCCAAGAAATCTTTAACTTTGATAAAATCTAGGGACAGCTATACCAGTGAAGTTATTTTCCCCAATAGTAGTAACTTTATTCAAATAAAAGCACAAAAAGCAGACAGAAATGGTGAACAGGTAAAAAATTCTCAATGTCTAAAATAAGAGAAATTTACATTTATGCTTGACTACTTGAATAACTAAGACTGAATACCTGAAAAAGCAAAGCATAACTCACAAATAACATAAGAAATTATAATGCATTTCACTGAAGATGAAATCACTTAGGGGTTTTTAAAGAATTATAAAGAGCAACTATCCCTTTTTTTCACTAATAACTGGCCTGAAAGTCTCCATTTTAAAAAGATATTCATGGGCACATGGGGGTTCATTATACTATTCTCTCTATTCTTGTGTAATCTTTGAAATTTTCCATGATAAAAAGTTTTTTAAAAGATGTATAAACCAAAGAAGAAGAGACGCCAAAGTTTTAGTTAAAAACAAGTTATTGGTAGACACACTACTTATCAGAAGAAAGAAGATATGTAAGGAGAAATATAAATACATTTTGGACCAAGAAGAATTCACCTATCTAAAAGCTGCTTCAAAGTAGGGAGGACGCAATGAGCAAGCTAAAAATTCATACTGAAGAACACTTTCAATTGTAAATTTTTAAAGCACACAGTATAACAGTTTGAAATAAGTCTTAACAGAACTGATTTATCTTACAAAAAAAAAGTACAACCATTTTAACAGGCTTCTCCAGGATGTCATATACAAATTATTATCTCTGAACTCTATCAATCAGTTTATAGCAAGGTGAATTTTACCTAATTTAAGCCTTTAGTTTTCCAGTAAGAATTAAATTTAATTCTTAACAAGCATCTACTTTAGAGGAAATGCTTTCAAACTAAAATATGATTGTGATTTTAAGTCCAGGAGTTCAATGCCTACCAAACACTTTCTTCACTACTATCTACTTAAGATCTTAGAAAAATTTAATATTGGGGAAAAGAAACTGCTTGGATTTATTCATACCTCTTTCTTCCTCATGTTTTTTGGCAGATGCACTTTTAGGTCTTCCTCTTCCTCGTCTGATATGATCTGAATGGCTGTTACTTCGAGATCTCTTTCTGTTTTCTAAATCCTTATTTACTGTAGAATTTATCTTCTCTCGCCTAACTCTCTCTGTTCGCCTCCTCTTGGCCTCATGCTTGTTTTCTGTATGGATGAATAAAAGTGATATATTTTAGGGCTTAGCAAGAACTGTTGGCCCAAGTTCTCATTGTCTTCTTCTTTTTCTTTCTAAATAGCACTAGAGTTTGCTGCCTGGCATATTTTATAAAACTATAACCGTAACATCTATGTCCCTCACACACACTTAGGAAAAAAAGAAATTCAACAGAATTCAGATCCACATCAACACATGAGGTAGGAGGAATCTTGAAACAGAAGACAAGTTTCTTTATTTGGCACCTTTAATTTCAGCCCCTTTAAGTTCACCCAGTTTCACAGCAACCTTCCTGCCTTTTTCCTTCTCTCTGTTTCCAATTAAAAACAGTGAAGTATTGGAAAAGGAAAAAAAAATTCCATTTCTTTTTGCCCTCTACCCAAATTACAGATTGAACTATGTCAAATATGCAGAAGCAAAACTGATCTTAACCATAATATAGTAAGGTTACCAATAAAAAGCAAACAGAAAGCATCCATAGAAAATATAAAAACACAAGGGAAGCAAGCAGTTTTCACGTTAGCCACAGATGAGATCTAGATGAGGTCATCTCTGACATTCTAAGAGCATGTTAATCTCTAACTGGAATAGCAACAGGAGAACTTTAGATAATATAGTGATTTAATTGATAAATGCAAGAAGCCACCCATCTCACTCCAAACAAATCAAAATGTTGGATAAGACAAACAACAAACTAAAAAACAAAAACAAAAATTTGCTTTAATACGTACCTGAACTCAAAAGCAAGAAAGAGAATTTCCCAAATGCCTAAAATCATGGTGGTAAAGAGGCAAAACAAATAAGAACAATCATATCCCAAGAACTGTAAAATAAGTATGCTTAATAGGCTACTGTAAAATAAAATTAAAAAAATTTAAGTAAAATATCTAAGCTATTTTCAAATACCACATCTTTGGAGAATTAGTTAATTCCAGGTCTCAGATCAGACATATACCAGATGATGCAAGAACATTTAATTATTCCCAATTGCAAGAAAGTTATCAAAGACAACTGGGGTCTTGTTAAAGGACTCAAGGGCTAACTTGAAGAGGCTCCCACTGACCATTATAGGACAATCTGAGCATCAATAAAAACAATAACTGTAATAGATTGAAACATATCAAATATACTTAAAATGAGTACATGACATTAAATACAAAAACAAAAGCAAAAATTACTTGGCCACCATAGGAAAACACTAAAGAACCAACTCACTATTTTGACAACTTAAATAAAGAGAAAGAATAAAGCCTTTATCCTGCCTTTCCTATTCAAACTGTACCACTCACTGGGTAACTAAAGGGCAAATGAAGAGAAGTTTCTCATTTAAGAATTACTGCAGCTAAAAAAACGAAGAAGGAATGATCAAATCAGAGTATCACCAGTTTCAACCTGAAATGAACTAAAGGATGTAAGTACTAAACATCAACAGCTGCTAACATCACAAAACCAGAGATAAAGCAGACTTTATGTGCCTCCTGATAGAATACCTACCTAATTAAGTAATCTTGTCAAAAAAAAAATCAAATCTCATCAAGTCCTTAGATCCAAATTACAATTTATAGGAAAAATAGAAGTCCATAGAGAGACAAACAGCACATCCAAATGGACAAGTGATGTAGTTTCTTTAACACATAATTTGCAAGGAAAAAAAAGAAAATAATAGATAAAAAGAGAGCTAAAAAAGATATCACCCATATGCAATGTGTGGATCTTATTTGGAATCTGTTTCTAAAAACTTTAAGACCATTTATGAGAAACCTGAAAATTTCAACACCAGTTGGATACTTGATATCAAGGAATTATTGTTAATTTTTTATTGTGCTTATGTTTTTAAAGGTCTATCTTTTAAAAACCTAGAATGAAATATTTATAAGTGAAATTATATGAAATTTGCTTAAAAATAATAAGCAAGCAAAGGAGTAGACGTGGGTGTGGATGGATCAGGGTTGGCCACTGTCTACTCTTGTGTATGCTTAGAATTTTTCAAAGAAAAAAAGTTGAAAGAAATAGTAATAGGTAAAGCTTTTTATAGCATGCCTTTTAAAATTTAACATTGAATTTAGGTTTGTTCCTCCAGCTACCTACCCATCTCTGCAAACCGCTTCATAGCCAAACTTCTCAAAAAAGAGGACTCTGTATCAATTTCTCATCTCCTATTCACTCATCAATCCACTCCAGTACAGTTTCCAACCCAACGAAACTGATCATCAAGAAAGACAAAAATCTCTGTTATCAAATCCAACAGATACCTCTCTTTAATAATCTTAATATCATCTCTCAAAAACTCAACAAAGATGACTACTCTTTTCCTTGAAATTATTTCACTTGATTTTTCAGGCTCTCTAGGTTTCCCATCTCACCAGCCATCTCCTTTGCTGTCTTCTCCTCCCCCAAATTCTTTCCCATCTCTAATATTAAAACCCTAGGACTCTGTCCAGCGCCCTCTTCTCTTACTGACACTCTGCCTAGATAATCTATAGACTCAAAACACTAAACACTATTGTTATGATGGCTCCAAATTTATACTTTCAGTTCTGACCTCTTACCAAAGTTCTAGACTGCCTACAAGACAGCTTCACTTGAACCTCTCACAAGTATTTCAAATGTATCAAAAAAGAACTCTTGGGTTAGCCTCGTGGCCTAGTGTTCAGCCTTAAGTGGCCTTAAGTTCAGCACGCTCCACTTCAGCCGCCCGGGTTTGGTTCCTGGGCACAGACCTATACCACTCAACGGCAGCCGTCCTGTAGTGGCGACCCACATACAAAATAGAGGAAGATTGGCACAGATGTTAGCTCAGGGCGAATCTTCCTCAGTGAAAAAACAAATAAATAAAAACTCTTGATTTTCCCTCCTCCAACCTTCATTATATTAGTAAACAGCACCAACCTGCTGCACAAGCCAAATAACTTGTCATTTGTGACTCAGTTTGCCTCTTCTTATATCATCACAAAGGTCCACAGGTATTCCTTGCAAAAAATATCCACAATTTCTTCATTTCTCTCCACCTCCATGGGCAACATCCAAACCAAATACATACCCTACAGAGCTGCCAAAATTATCTTAAAAAAAAAAAAACTGTAGGGCTCCCCTTCTAAAACCTTTCGTTACCTTTTCACTGTATTTAAAATAAAGTCAACTTTCCTTACCAAAGACTACAAGTCCCTATAAGACCTGATATTCGCCTCTCTCCAATCTCATCTCACACTACCAGCCACTTTGTTCACTACACATGCTTTCCTTTTAATAAAACAAGTTCCTTCCTCCCCTTGAGTCTCTGCACTTGCTAATCCTTCTGCCTAAAGCTCTCTTCCCAAGGCTCTTCATGAGACAGGCTTTATTTCCTTCAGGTGTCAATTTATAGGTCACCCCCTCTGAGTGTCCCAGCCCAAGCTACTTTCTAGAATCTACTACTACCACTATAATCTACTACTATAATCTGTTGTTTATTTAACTATATACTCAATATGTCCCTCCATCAAAATATAAACTCTATGTAAGTCAGGACACCTTTGTCTTATTCACAGAACCTGGAACATTACCTAACATATTAAGTAGTGCTGAATAAACAAAATCAGACCGAGCACATGCATTTATCTCACCATCTTCTCAAAGTACCACTGAAACGAAAATAAACATGGGTAAAAGGGAAAGGGAAAAAGGAAAATAAACCTGCAGAGTTGGAAACAAGGAAAAAGGGTGCTATTAATGATCCGAAATTACAGAATTTCAGCAAACTGACAAGCTGACAGATTCTGATTAAGAAACCAAAATAAAACAAACTATAATCCAAAATAGGAATAAGAGATGGCTCCTATAGAAGGGAGAGCTGTTCTTCCCAAAGATACTCCCAGGACAGAACAAACAGTACAGCAATGGAGAACAGGCCACAGAGTAATCATCAGAATAACTATGTATAGGACTACTGCAGAACAGTTGGGCCTGTGTATACACAACAACTGACATAAGGAAGTAAAGCTCTCTTCGGAACTAAGCAATGTTTTTTTTTTTTTTTTTTTTTTTTTTTAAAGATTTTATTTATTTATTTTTCCCCCAAAGCCCCAGTAGATAGTTGTGTGTCACAGCTGCACATCCTTCTAGTTGCTGTATGTGGGACGCGGCCTCAGCATGGCCGGAGAAGCAGCGCGTCGGTGCGAGCCCGGGATCCGAACCCGGGTCGCCAGCAGTGGAGCACGCTCACTTAACCACCAAGCCACGGGGCCGGCCCTTTTTTTTTTTTTTAAAGATTTTATTTATTTATTTAGGAACTAAGCAATGTTTAAGAGAACTTTGAACCTCCACAACACAGAAAGAAGAAACAAATGAAAAAAGGCAGCTCCTCATAAAAATTAAATACTATAAGGGATTTTACATTCTGCCCCAGAATGAAGCCTTCTTTAGTTTGGCAATCATGGAATTCAACAGCTTCCCCCAGCTCACCTAATTTACATCTAAAAGCCTGCCAGTAAGCTCCCCCCAATTATACACTAAAGACATCTGGTGTCAAAACAGATCTTTAAAACATTGTGGAGGGCTGGCCCAGTAGCGTAGTGGTTAAGTGCTCACGCTCCGCTGCTGGCGGCCCTGGTTCGGATCCCGGGCGTGCACTGACGCACCGCTTGTCAGGCCATGCTGTAGCAGCGTCCCACATCAAGTGGAGGCAGATGGGCACAGATGTTAGCTCAGGGCCAGTCTTCCTCAGCAAAAAGAGGAGGACTGGCATGGATGTTAGCTCAGGGCTGATCTTCCTCACAAAAAAATAAAAATAAATAAATTAAAAAAAATAAAAACAATGAAACAGCGTAGGACAGGGGCCAGTCCGGTGCCAGGGCAGTCAAGTTTGAGTGCTCCGCTTCAGCGGCCCGGGGTTCGCTGGTTCGGATCCTGGACACAGACCCACTCACCGCTCACCACCATGCTGAGGCGGCATCCCACAGAGAAGAGCTACAACTCTACAACTATGATATACAACTATGTACTGGGGCTTTGGGGAGAAAAAAAAAGAAAAAGAGGAAGATTGGCAAAAGATGTTAGCATAGGGCCAATCTTCCTAAAAAAAAAAAAAAAAAGCAGTGTAGGATATTCATGCAAGTTGTCTACAGTGATAAATCAAGTCCTTCATTTATAAATATCAACAGGCAGTTAAGGATTATCAGCTATTTGAGGAAAACAAAGCGTGAGAGAGAAGGAACAAGATAAAACAGGAGGAACAAAGGTAGTTCAGGAAACAAGAAAAAGATTTTTTAACATTCTAATGCATACTTTCAGAAAGATCTGAGAGGAGATTATATCATTAAGAATAAGATTCTTTTGCAGAAATAGAAAATTCCATCCTAAAATTCATATGGAATCTCAAAGGACCCCAAATAGCCAAAACAATTTTGAAAAGGAACAAAGTTGGAAGTCTCACACTTCCTGATTTCAAAACTTACTACAAAGCTATAGTAATCAAAAAAAGTGGTACTGCCATACGACAGATACATAGATAACAGAATAAAAGAGCGCTTAGAAATAAATCCTCAAATATATATTCAAATGATTTTCAATAACAGTGCCAAGATGATTCAAGGAGGAAAGGACCGTATTTTCAACAAGTGGTATTGGAAAGACTGGGATACCCACATGCAAAAAAAATGAAATTAACCCTTATCTTATTCCATATATAAAAATTAACTCAAAATGGATTGACGACCTAAATATAACAGCTAAAACTATAAAATGCTTAGAAAAAAACAGGGAAAAAGCTCCCTGACGTTGAATTTGGCAAT